AAGTTTTCTATATTTCAATTTGTAAATTATCTACGAAAACGTGTCGTAGGTAACTTTTCTATACAATTTTTCGTAGGTAATGTTCATATGCAAATTCCTGATGCTACCATTTCGTGGGTAATTTCAGACGAATATTTTCGTAGGTAATGCATACGCATTCGTAGATAAATTCAGACGAATATTTTCGTAGGTAATGCATACGCATTCGTAGATAAATTCAGACGAATATTTTCGTAGGTAATGCATAGGTAAGTTACCTACGGAGGCCAATTTTCGTAGATAAATTTACCTACGAGCTTATTATCTACGGAAAAAGTTTCGTAGATAATTCGTAGATAATACCCATTTACCTACGAAAATTCTGCATTACCTACGAATTATGGGTGTAGATAAATACCAACTTTCTTGTAGTGAGTTTATAAACATCATTTCTCCTTAACTTTTCAAAATGTCTTTTCAAGGACAAAATAATGATAGTCCAACAAGTGTCAAAACATACAATACCTCGATTACAATAACCTTAACGATATTAATAGACTTATAATTGAAACATTGGCATTAGAAAGAGGGTCTAGGTCACTCTTATCTCTTAGCCTCAATTAAGGGGCTTGTTCTAATATGCCTAAAAGTGTCACACTACTTAAGATTTGAGAATAAAGGTAGTTTATAAACACCTCTCTCCTTAACCTACCGAGATACCTTTTCATGGAAAAAATCGTGACGATCCAATGAGTGTCAAAATAGACAATACCTCAGTCACGATAACCTTAACGATGCCAACAGAGTTATAGTAGGAACATTCATAGTGATAATAAGTTATATTAAGCGAAGTCCCAAATCTACTCTTATATTTATCAACATCACCTCTTACCTATTTATACCTAGATATTGAAATCAATGGTTGAGAATATTTTTTATTATTTCCTCCCCTCTTTCGCTTCTTACTATTGCTATCATCAATAACCATTTTTCCAGGTAATACATTCTTCCCTTTTTTTACTTTAGCTTTACTTTTATATAAAAATTTTGGTGGTGTCACTAAACAAGTTCAGGTCTATTGTAGGAGAATAAATGAAAGGTAAGGTAGAAGAATCCTCAGCAAGCAATGTGTTACCAAACTTTTTCTTATTCTGACCTATGAAAGGACCCAGAAAAGTATGGGTGGTACCATCTTGAAGAGAGAAGGGAAGAAGTACCTGAGAATTGAAAATCTTGAAGCTAGCTTCCTCCATGCCCGAGATGGGGACGAAGGTTTCGTCACCTTCTTTCACAGCATAGACCGTAGCATTGGCCATTAGCAGAGGAACAGATTGTGTAGATGAAGTGAAAGCCAGTGTAGGAGAAAGAACTGAGGCGGTAGCAGAAGTTGAAGCAGTAGAAGAAGCCATTGCAGCAAGATGAAGCAAGATCCACAAGGAGAAGAACAAGAAGAAGCAAGGACGGAGAAAGTTTGAAAGGCAAAGAATACGTGCGCACAAAGGAAACGGTAAAAAGTAATTTTACCCTAAGACCTTTTAAACGAATGTAAACGGGCCAAAGCGAAAATAGCCCAACAAGTTAGATCAACCATCAAACGTTTCAAATCATATTTTAAATCAACGGACAAGAGCATTGGGAAATGTGAGCAAGCGCCGTCAAAATTTATTAGGGGCAGTAAAAACTTAAATATAACAGTAACCACATTGAAGAGCATTTTTGATTAGGGTTCCATCGAATAGGTACATCATAAAGTTGACTCGAAAACTAATCAGTATTGATCGAAGAATTGAAAATCATAGGAATTCAGTCTTTCATCGCCTTAACGCGTGCTTCGAAGACTAAATTTCTAGGGGGGCATTTGTTAGGGCCACTCGAAGACATTCCACTCGAAGAAGTTGATTGACAAGGTACTTGCCAGACAAATTGAATATCAGAAACTATAAGCATACATGCTCGAGAACGACTCGAAAAAATGCAAGAGGTGGTTACCGGAGATTTTAGGTAATTAAATAAGTGCACCAAAGCGATTATCGAAGATCAAATTGAAAAAATAAAAACGTGGATGGAACGGTTGGGAGAAGTTACCTTTAAGCCGAATAATCAGTATAGTGGACAACGGTTACATATCCACGATGAAAATTAACCACTCTCGATTAAGTCTATAAATATGAGGAGAGTGTCACTTCACAAGGGTCGAAAAAATCATACTTGCACTCTCAAAAACACTCACCTCCTACGCATATGGCTTCCGTGCATGAAATTGCTGGGTATGACAACTTCTTGGCCACATTTTCTTTCTTTTTCTAGGATTAGTTTAGTTTCATTTAGTATCGTAGTGTAGTTTGTAGTTCATAGTTTGTTATTATGAAATTGTAACCTGATGATTATGCGAAGTGGACAATGATTTGTATTGCCAATATATGTATTGTTCATTCTGTTTATTTGAGTATCTACATGCATGATAATTATTGCTTAATAATCATTAATGAAAATCTTGAAACGAACGCTTGCTAGTTACTCTGTTTCGTCTATCTCTCTGTTCTTAAGAAAATTTAATTATAAATACCTAAATTAAAACCATTGTGTGCTAGTTCAAATAAAAAGAACTTACAAACGAAATCTACCACAAACAAATATATCAACATGTAACTTGTTGGTATATTAACTTATACTATATGACTAAGATAATAAGATAAGCTCGGGCATAGTGTCGACATACCAAGTTGGACACACCGATCTCCAACTTGGTTAATTTATACCACAACTACAACGGTTATAAAATTAAAGAAAATGGATTGACACGGTTAAAGAAAGGGAAAAAATGTATGTATAATATAATGCATGATAAATAATCCCCTTTTGCTGGATTATTGCCAATATCATTGAAATCCTTTTTATAACATGCACTTTGAAGAAGATAAAAAATTACCAAATTCAATATCAAAAGACAATTAAAAGGAAGATCTTATAAGGTTGTTACTCAAATTGAATACATTCTAGTAAGAACAAGTATAAACTAAAATACCAGAATGTATATTAGTGGTCAAGTAATATGAGCGAGTTTTTATAAATCAATACAAAATTTAATATCGATGGATATTGGATAAAAAATAGACTAATTAAAATGCTTGGTCAAGGCTGCATGATTCTATATCTTATTGCATGAAATATGCCAAGACAATGATTTTATGAATAGCTCAACGTATCACATATGGAATTCAATGCATAACATGTGATTATTATATAGTTTTCTAGTTCACTTTAAAGAAAGTTTTATCTATAATTATTAATAAAGAGAATATTTTTTTAAATAACTATTTTCATCATCTTTTTTACTCTTTTCTCATTCAATTATACAATAATTTTTTATAAATAAAGAATAAAATGAAATATATATATATAT